GTTCCAATTACTTTTAGGATGTGAACGGTTATGGTACTTCACATCTTCCTTTTTAATTTTTTGCAAAATTAGCGCCTTACGCTTGTTCCTCTATCCGTTTTCTCAAACTTTTCAAATACATTCTTTCTCACTCTATCTTTCGATGTTCTTTCAGGTTGGTCATGGCTCTCCACAGCCTTCTTTCTTGTTAATTGTCTTTGTGGTACTTGTCTCTCTATCCGTATGCTTATACTTGTCAAGTAGGTTTTCTCTCTCTTTTTATGCTTATTTCAGGGTCAATAATATTGCAGATTATTGTTTGGGTCTTATCATGGAGCTCAAAGTAAATCACAGCGGCAACGGACCACACCTTATCTATTGATGTAAAGGTTCAGTTGACTGAAGCAAAAACATGGAAAACAGACACGTACCTCCAAGTTCGTCATATTGCTATCCCAAAAGCAATTCATTACACTGAACCAAGACTCACAGAAATACATCAGTTTTCAACAGGGTTTCATATCCGACCTAGTTTACCGTCAACTCTTGTAAATAATTTCCTCCTACAAACACACTCATGCTCCCTCTCTAAACACCGTTCATCTGTCTGTCTGTCTGTCTCGCCCCGGTATCTCTTTCACTCTCTCTCTCTCTCTCTTTATATATATATATATATATATATATATATATATATATATATTGCTATAATCTCCAGCTATTCAAGTGTAATGTCAATCGACATCTCCAGTTGCCTTGATCTATTTACTACCGTCATCCTTTCTTCTATCACTCCTATCTGATCTTGCTATAAATTTTCTGTAGCCCTCTAGTGGCTTCCCGCCTTGCTTGGGGTGAAATACTTAAAATATATATATATATATTAGGTTGGTGCAAAAAATAATGACGTAATAATGTCGTTTTGCGACGTATTTTATTACGTCATTATTTTTCACCAACCTAATATATATATTTGACTTTTCTCTCTTTTCCCCCCTCTCTCTCTCTCTCTCTATATATATATATATATATATATATATATATATATGAAAAAATATACTGAAAAAAACAAACAAAAATCCTAATATGCGATTATGCTGTTTTAATGTTTAATGTCAACGTCGGACGTTTCGGTCTAATAGACCATCTTCAGGACATATTCATAAAACATAATTAATATAGAACATATACAATTCAACATGAAAAAGACGATGGACATAAAAGCAATATCAATCCAAACAGATAACTATAATTATTGTCTTGCTTGGGGTGAAATGATTATAAAAAAGTCGTTAAGTTCAGAATTCCCTGTAGGTTATCCAGATCGGTAAACAGTTGAAGATGGCCGTAGCGAAATCAACAAAGACGAGGACAATAGAGATTTTCCAAGCGTAGCTTAGCTGTGGCACAAGGCCGGACGTTGAGGGCACCCAGCTGAGGATCGAACTCACTACTCAGTCGTAAGTGTTCTAGCGAGGTACACCACCTCGAGGTGCCCAAGATGAGGATAATATGTTTGAATATAAATAGTGTAAACAATGCTAAATTCTCATCCTAGAAATTTTAGACAGAAATGAGACCCGTCCTGGGTATAACGATAAACTACATCCGCGTCCTGGGTAAGACGATGAACTACATCCGGCAGCAAGGCATCGGATCAGGAGGTTTTGAGGAGCCAAGAACCACCTCTTAATTGCTTGTGTTCCCAGGTTCACTCACATCCGGGGTGGTAGCACCTGTTAGGGCCTCAATTATGGGCGAATAGTTGCCCCCCCAAAAAAAACTGGGGTCAAAACACTATAAAAGTATAAAAATAGGTTTTAATACTAGCAATGAATTTTTGAATAAAAAAATATTACCAGCAATACATTTTTGGAAAAAAATGCCAGCAATAAATTTTTGGAAAAAAATATTACTAGCAATAAAAATTTTGTCTGCATTAAATAACACATTGAGTGATATATGCCGTAAAACCAAACCAAACCAAACCAAACCAAACCAAACCAAACCAGAAGACGATGATATAAAATGCTAAACCGAAGAATACATATTCTATTTATATGAATTTATCCTAAAAATGTTGTCGGCCTTAAATAACCCATTAGGTGTTGATATGCCGTAAAATAAAATAAACCAAACCAATGTAAACCAAAGAATACATATTCTATTTATACGAATCTATCCTAAAAATGTTGTCGGCATTAAATAATCCATTGAGGTTAATATGCCATAAAACAAAATAAACCAAACCAATGTAAACCAAAGAATACATATTCTATTTATACGAATCTATCCTAAAAATGTTGTCGGCATTAAATAACTCATTGAGGTTGATATGCCACAAAACAAAATAAACCAAACCAATCTAAACTAAAGAATACATATTCTATTTATACGAATCTATCCTAAAAATGTTGTCGGCATTAAATAACTCATTGAGGTTGATATGCCATAAAACAAAATAAACCAAACCAATCTAAACCAAAGAATACATATTCTATTCATACGAATCTATCCTAAGAATGTCGACATCAAATAACCCATTGAGGTTGATATGCCATAAAACAAAATAAACCAAACCAATCTAAACCAAAGAATACATATTCCATTCATACGAATCGATCCTAAGAATGTCGACATCAAATAACCCATTAGGTGTTGATATGCCATAAAACAAAATAAACCAAACCAATCTAAACCAAAGAATACATATTCTATTTATACGAATCTATCCTAAAAATGTTGTCGGCATTAAATAAAAATGATTGTCGGCTATTAAAAATGTTGTCGGCATTAAATAACCCATTGAGGTTGATATACCGTAAAACAAAATAAACCAAATCAATCTAAGCCAAAGAATACAGATTCTATTCATACGAATCTATCCTAAAAATGTTGTCGGCATTAAATAACTCATTGAGGTTGATGTGCCGTAAAACAAAATAAACCAAACCAATCTAAACCAAAGAATACATATTCTATTTATATGAATCTATCCTAAAAATGTTGTCGACATTAAATAACCTGTTGTATTGATATGCCGTAAAACAAAATAAACCAAACCAGAAGACGATGATATAAAATGCTGGTACCATGTTCTTAAATAGACTTGTCGGATGGAGACTCTCTAATGTGTAACTGGTCTGACGTTCATTCCTTGAGAAATGCCTAAACCATCAGAACTACATACAATGTTTTTTTTTCTCAGGTATCAATAATTGAAATGAATGAATGACATAAGTGAGATTATATATACAAAACATATATGAAATTATAAAAAAAAAACAACCTAGCAGTCTTAAAGAAGACAACTCTTCATCACATCTTATAGATTGTCGCTACAGAATCTCAAAGAACTTTATCAAATAAGAAAAAGCCACATCACTTGGAGACCCACCATAGAGAACCTTCTCTGCCTTCCATAAGGATGGCTGATGCCCAGCTCCACGAGAGCGCCACTCTGCTCGGTCTCACGCTGTCCACTTAATTGAATCTATAGCTTCATCCACCGCAAGGAAAGTTGGTTCTCTGTGTCGCGCTGGAAGGTTTTTTTTCGCCTGAGACCAAATCTACTAATCAACCATTTCTTTTTGCATGGAATACTCCTGCCATATGTGGTCTGGTGCTCCCGCTGTTCATCTCAAGGTCCAAGACAAAATCCAAAAAAAGTTTCTGCAATCCTGACCTGGCATTTTAACTTCAGTCCATCGACAAAATCCAGAATACGGATATGCAACGTGATTGGTCCTGATCTGGCAACCCGTCTGAAGTCGCTATCTCAAAGATGTGCTGTAGCTTCCCTCTGTCTTTTCTACAAGTATTTTCATGGCAACTGCTCCAACGAGCTACTTTCACTGGTTCCCAAACTGCATGAATTTAAGCGTGCTACTAGGTTGGCATCTTGGTCCCACCATTTCACTGTCGAAACGGTTAAATATCGCCATCTCTTCTACTCCATCAGCTTCCTTATCTCGCACCTCCCATCAGTGGAACTCCTTTCCTATCACTTGCTTCCCCGATAGCTATAATCTTCAAATATTCAAATGTAATGTCAATTGACATCATCTGACGCCTTGACGTTGATCCCTGTCCTTCTCTTTATCCGTTTCCCAAATATTTCTCTTTACTTTTACTCTCATTCTCTGTAAACCCTTGTGTGCTAGTGGCATCCCCGATTTGCTTGAGGTGATTTGCTTTAAAAAGACTTCCAGCAGCAGTAACAACTACAACTAAAAGTTCTAACACGTGTAACGAGAAGGGAAATATAATGAAAAAAATCAAGATATTGACTTTCCACATCACCTTAAACAAATTTGATTGATTCATTTTTTACGGCTTACCAACACTTTACAGGTAAGCCAGAAAATATTTTCAGATTGTAAGAATATTTTTTAGACAATGATGATTTTTTATACAAGACTTACTAATTAACCCATAGCAAGGGGAGAAGAGGTGGATTCATACATAATCCAAATTTGATAAACGAAAACCAGAAATGATAAGGTGGACATAAAGTGGGTGATCAGTTCTATATTACAACCAGTATATAAAATTTGAAAGAATTCTATTCTTGAGATAATAATAGTCGATTGATACGAGTCTTACTAATTAACCCATAGCTGGGGAGGAAATGTGGATTCATGCCTTTGCCCAGGGAATTTACCCGCAAGTGAATATAACGAGAATTTAACTCGGCTTTTCGATTAACAACTCCGAGCGATTATCCATTACACCAACCGCAGAGGCAAACTTAAGGCACATGGTATTCCCAGTCGGTTGACCAGGCTCAACGTTGCTTAACTTCGGTCATCGTACGGTAAATCGGCTCTCCAATTAATAATTAAGAGTCATTATCCATTACACCACCGACACATCCAAGCTTACAGCACCTGGTACTCCCTAGCAGTCACCCATCTATGTATTGGCCAGGCTCAACGTTGCTTAACTTCGGTCATCATACGGTAAATCGGCTCTCCAATTAATAATTTCGAGTCATTATCCATTACACCACCCGCACACCCAAGCTTACAGCACCTGGTATTCCCAAGCGGTCACCCATCTAAGTACTGACCAGGCTCGACGTTGCTTAACTTCGGTGATCGTACAGGAATCGTTGTTTCAACGTGATGTGGTCGTAAGCCTGTTTCCATTAGAGATGAGGTAAACAGATACTACACTTTGATCCTAGACCTATGGCCAGAAAGTAAAGAAAAACCTAACTCCTGTTCTGTCAATAAATGTCAAATGAAACATCAAATATTAATATTACATGTATATACGGACAGCATAAAAGTTATCTAAGCAAGAAAATGAATCAGCGGGTCAAGGTTCACATCAATATCTTGGCAGAGGCTTTATGGATTTATTTTTTGTGTTCCCCCTAATAATGGTGTACACTGAGATTTCAAGTCTTGGTAGTTGTTGTGACCTAGAGAAGGTTACTGAATAGAATAATCACTAATAATCGATGGTTGATAATGAACAATAATACTTAGGACAAGAACAACACGTATAAGATTCGCCAGCGGCGCGTAGAAGAAGTAGCCAACTGCTAGAAGTGAATTCCACAATGAATATCCAACTGTAAGATATCTACCAACCGCCCACGCGCTCAGATGTGGCACGAGGCCGAATTTACCCGTAGGTTCGGCCATAAATACCGTAGACCCCGTGTAAAACGGGGTTGGATAGCTATTTCCCGAGACGAGACTCTGCCATTCAACTTAGACTCGTCTGGGGATCCTCTCTGCACGGAGGCAGAGAGTTTGACCAGCACAGCTGGAAAGGAATCTCCAACTGCAGAATAGCTACTCACCGCACCAGGCGGTCAGATGTGGCACAAGGCCGACGCAATGCAATACCTAAATGAAGCGATCAATTTTGAGTTCTTCTGTAGTATATTGTTGCCTATCACATCTATTCCTTCCTACCCATTGTGATGAAGACTCAATCGAGTGTCCTCCATTGTAGCTAGTTTAAATGTTGGTCGATATCGCTGCTTTTAAGCTAATTGTGTGTGTGTGTGTGTGTATATATATATATATATATATATATATATATATATATATATATATATATATATATATATATATATTACTCCTCTCCCGTCGAATTCGACGTTGAGGGTCAAACAGATCAGTTCCCAGGAAACCGGCAGCCCGACAACAGCACTTGAGAATTGATTATAGTGGTGAAGGTTTCGTGCAGGACCATCCAAACTTTTTGGAGGGCCGAATACAGAGACTTGGTGTACTACGTTCCACAGGGTCCCCAAACGACCCTCCGCAGGTTTGAATTCAGAATTGTCCTTCTCCTAGACCAGTTGCCATCCAAGGCAATAGAACCCAGTCTGCCCTGCTATTTTACCCATAGCTGGAGGGAGAAGAAGAGGATTCACAACTTTCCCAAGGGTATTAGCACGTAAGTGAATATAATGGATTCGACTGGAATTCGAACTCGGCTCTCTGATTCCTCAATCCAAGCCAATGGAGTAATGGATATATATATATATATATATATATATATATATATATATATATATATATATATATATATATATATATATATATATATATATATCATATTATACTGAAATAATTAACAAGCTTTTGTTTTATGTCATTAACTATATATACGGAATAAAATCTAAATGCTTGATACCCTACGAGGTTCAGTAACTCAGGAAGGAGTTATTGTCAATAGTGTTTAGTTCACAATTGAGTATAAATGGAATTTGGAGGGGGGGTTAAGACGAGCAGCTGGTGGCTCGGGACACGACGTTAATGAAATAATAGAGTTTTGAAATACAAAAAGTGACCCACCATCACACACATACATTTTTTTGCGTTTCTTTGTTTGGGTTTATGTCTTTTTTTTACTTCTTTTTGGTTTGTTCTTTTTTCCCGGAACTTCGGAATTGGGGTATTAAATTAAAAATTGTGTTAAGTTTCTGAGGATTTCTATAAATCATATCTGTCACTGTAGGGAGCAATGGTGCACAAAATTCCCTTCTACTTTGGGGGTGGGCCCCTTTCACGACACAGACGTAGGTTTACACATAAGAGGTCTGCACACGTTGAAGAACTCTTCAACACATTGTTATTTATAGCTTGTTATCTCTTATTAACTCGTGTCAAGGCTGAGAAAGACGGTAACAGCATCTTGCTTGCCACTGCCAGGGCGGATAAGCTAGCCATGACAGTATGGTTTATAAAAAGACCTTGTTTTCTTTTAATTCTCTCACCCCAAACAAGGCGATAATGCCACTAAGACGCAAGCGGTCACTGGGTGTGAATCAAAAAGACATCTCGTTATTTATAACTTGTTATCTCTTATTAACTCGTGTCAAGGCTGAAAGACGGTAACAGCATCTTGCTTGCCACGGCCAGGGCGGATAAGCTAGCCATGACAGTATGGTTTATAAAAAGACCCTGTTTTCTTTTAATTCTCTCGCCCCAAACAAGGCGATAATGCCACTAAGACGCAAGCGGTCACTGGGTGTGAGGGAGAATCAAAAGACATCTGAGGAGAAAGAAACACGTTATCTGAGAAGGCTGAGAAAAGACGGTAACAGCAAACTGCAAGGGGCGGATTAGCCATGACAGTATGGTTTATAAAAAGACCCTGTTTTCTTTTAATTCTCTCCCCCAAACAAGGCGATAATGCCACTAAGACGCAAGCGGTCACTGGGTGTGAGGAGAATCAAAAAGACATCTGAGGAGAAAGAAACACGTTGTTATTTATAGCTTGTTATCTCTTATTAACTCGTGTCAAGGCTGAGAAAGACGGTAACACGGCCAAAGGGCGGATAAGCTAGCCATGACAGTATGGTTTATAAAAAGACCCTGTTTTCTTTTAATTCTCTCGCCCCAAACAAGGCGATAATGCCACTAAGACGCAAGCGGTCACTGGGTGTGAGGGAGAATCAAAAGACATCTGAGGAGAAAGAAACACGTTGTTATTTATAGCTTGTTATCTCTTATTAACTCGTGTCAAGGCTGAGAAAGACGGTAACAGCATATTGCTTGCCACTGCAAGGGCGGATAAGCTAGCCATGACAGTATGGTTTATAAAAAGACCCTGTTTTCTTTTAATTCTCTCATCCCAAAGAAGGCGATACTAAGACGCAAGCGGTCACTGGGAGTGAAGGAGAATCAGAAGACTTCGGTGAAGCGCAAGGACAATAAAAGAACGGTTTCTGGGAAGACAAAAAATAGCGATTGGTGTTGCATTTAAATTTTTGAAGAATGTAATTGGTAAGTAAGTAAGAAAATGGGTGGCTGTTTCATGGTTGAGAAGTTTTAGAAAAGTATTAGAATCCAGGGTACCAAGGAGTAAAATCGTTGGAACAATTGTAATGAAAAGATTTATAGAATAGATAGGGAAGTCACGTCATGGTGCTGGGAAAGTGATTGAAGTCGAGATGCCAGATTAGGACCGATAATATCACAGATCCATTCTTTGGATTTTGTCAAGAATCTCGAGATACATAAGAAGAGTAACAGCCCAAATATGGCAGTAATTTTCAATGAGCACACACACACACACACACACACACACACACACACACACACACACACATATATATATATATATATATATATATATATATATATATATATATATATATATCTTACTAGCAGCATATTTGGATTTGCCCGTGCTTGATTCAAAAATCGTACGACTCATACAGCAATCGCTATCACTTGACTTAAAATATTTTTGCTCTTCCTTGCCTTTAAAGGAGTGCCCTTTGCCGTGCTGATGTTGTTACTTCTTGCCTATCTCACACTGCAAATTTTTTCTAAGCTCCATACTAAACATTAAATCTGTTACGAAAAAAGAACTAAACAAAATGAACACAAAATGATCAGCTTTAAAAAAAAGGACTCGTAACTAGAAAAATCAATGAAAAAAGAATGTTAACAACAAATACTTTTTCACACCCAACCCAGTTCTAAGGAATCAGAATCAACGTTGAGTTTAAGCAAGCGAGTGAGCCAATTGGAGTAAAGTGATATGCAGATTTAAATTTTTTCCACTTGTGACAAATGCAGCTATCGATTTTTTTTGCGTGCTAGCATGCTAGTTAACATTCGTGTCAGTCAGCTGTTGGCTCTCACGCTGGCCAATAGAATCTTCCTGCCTATTTGTGGCAGCCAGCTATAGGCTCTCACTCTGGCCAGTAGAAAATGGCCGCATGAAAACTGGCGTAGAAGCATGAAAAATCGATTATTTCCACTATCGATGGGAGTTGGGAAATGCAAAGTCGGTCTTGGCCTTCCCACTAACTTAGAGCATGTGCGAGTAAATTTTGATGCAAATCCGTCGAAAATTGCGACCGTGCATTTGTTACACACACACACACACACACACACACACACACACACACACACACATCACATCCTGCCTTTTATAGATAGAGATGAAATGGACAAAGTCCGACAATTATTTTAAGACATTTTTATGTTTATACATTCTTTTTATAGATACAAATATATGTATAAATCTTACTAATACTGTTTATTATAAAACAGGGCATTTACTTAAATATTTGTATCTATAAAAGAATGTATAAACATAAAAATGTTTTATATATATATATATATATATATATATATATATATATATATATATCATAATTGAGTGGGTCTATGTTTGATTAGGCTGACAATGTGTGTGCGTCAAGTGGGTATTTTTATTTATGTCTGGTAGTGTCTATGTTGATTGAGGGATATTTTGCGTAGGAGTAAAATAATTTAAGTTACACCGGTTGTGGTTGTAGATAGACCGATCATATATTCTTTAAGTATGGATTTAGTAAAAGCTGGTGATATAATAAAGTTTGTTTGATGTGTGATGGGAAGGATTTATTCTAAGGATTTTCTACGTAATAAATTATGTTCTTTTTTTATTTTGTGTGGCATTAGTTAAATCGAATTTATACATATAAAAGAATATATGCGGAGGGAATTCCTTATCTGATGTAGATAGGTTTGTTGTAGATAGTAAATGTATGGATAATAACGAACTATTTAGTACAGCCAAAATTTTAGAAAAATTATAAAATATTTACAAATTATTTTCTTAATTACTTTCTTTCTTTTTTTTTCCTTTATTTCACGTCACTAGTTTTGAA